CACACACACGAAATGAATTCGAAATTTTTCAGCATTTTTCAAAAAAAAGTCATGGGTTAACTTTCACAACTAAGCTCTTTGTAATTATCACGGTAATGAAGTGACGGGGCACATCTGGAAAGTCCTAATGACAATTTAGAATGAACGTAATGCACCTGATATGGCATGATAAAGGTATATGAAACAGATCATAATGGAGTGGATTTTCGTGTTTATTGTGGCTCTTTTACATGGTGTGTCTGCCAAGTTGAAGCGCTATTGTTCATATATATACATACATATACAAATATATTATATATATTATATATATATATATATATATATATATATATATATATATATATATATATATATATATATATATATATATATATATATATATATATATATATATATATTATATATATATATATAATATATATATATATATATATATATATATTATATATATAATAATAATAAATGATAATAATGATAATAGTAATGATTTAGGGTTTGCTTTGACAGGCTCTTGTGACATCAGTCAAATTGTGGTTTGTCTGTTTATTGTGCTTCGACACTACCCCCTGTGTGCGAGGAATGGCCGGGGGTTGCCATCCACTGGCGGTGCGAAAGCGCTACCACGGCACACAAACACACACACACACACACACACAGACACAAACACACACACACACACACACACACACCCATCTCCCGCCTTACCTTCCTGAGGCAGCCCACGAAGTTTGACCTGGTCTCGGCGCCGGGCAGGAGGGCGGGCACGTCGGCGCCAGCGAGGTTGAGGCGCGAGGACGACAGCTGCGAGAAGGGCCCGGCCGTCGTGCCCTTTTCCGTGTACAGGCCGTCAACGGACACCGACAGCTGCGGAGGAGGAGGAGAGGCGTGGTTAAGGGGAGGAAGCGGGGGGGGTGGGAGGGGGAGGAAGTGGGAGGGTGGAGGAAGTGGGAGGGAGAGTGGGTGTTTAGGGAGCATAGGTGGAAGGGTTGAAGGGTGGAGGGAGAGGTGTGGTTAAGGTGGAGGAAGTGGAAGGTGGGAGGGTGGAGGAAGTGGAAGGGTGGGAGGGTGGAGGAAGTGGAAGGGTGGAGGGGAGGAAGTGGAAGGGTGGGAGGGTGGAAGGAAGTGGAAGGGTGGAGGGTGGATGAAATGGGAGGTGGATGGGTGGAGGAAGCGGGAATTGAGGGTGTCAAGTTGGGAGTAGTAGGGTAGAAGGGTGGATGAAGAAGAATGAATAAAGTGGAGGGTGGATAAAGTGGAAGGGTGGGAGGATGGAGGAAATGGAAGGGTGGATGAAGTGGAAGGGAGAGTGTGTGGTTAGGGAGCTTAGGTGGAAGGGTGGAGGAAGTGGAGGAATGGAAGGGTGGATGAAGTGGGAGGGTGAGTGTGTGTTTCGGGAGCTTAGGTGGGAAGGGTGGATGAAGTGGGAGGGTGGAGGTGGATGAAGTGAAGGGTGGATGAAGTGGAAGGGATCGTGTGTGTTAGGGAGCTTAGGTGGAAGGTGGAATGAAGTGGAAGGGATCGTGTGTGTGGTTAGGGAGCTTAGGTGGAAGGGTGGATGAAGTGGAAGGTTGAGAGGTGGATGAGGTGGAAGGGTTGAAGGGTGGATGAAGCTTAAGGGTGGGAGGTGGATGAAGGGAGGGAGAGTATGTGGTTAGGGAGCTTAGGTAGAAGGGTGGATGAAATGGGAGATTGAAGGTGGATGAAGTGGGAGGGTTGAAGGGTGGATGAAGTGGAAGTGGTGGAGGGTGGATGAAGTGAAAGAGTGTATGAAGGGAGGAGAGTATGTGGTCAGGGAGCTTGGGTGGAAGGGTGGATGAAGTGAAAGGATGGGAGGGTGTATGAACTAGAAGTGTGCTTTTAGGTTGGATGAAGTGGGAGGGTGGATAGACGGACGGGTGGATGAAGTGGGACTGAGGGTGTAATGATAAGGTGGATGAGTGGATGAGTTAGTAGGGAAGTGTTATGTTAGGGCGAAAGGGAGGGAGGGGTGTAGTTGATGTTGTCAGGGAGAAAGTCGAGGGGGAAGGGAGAGGAAGGGATAATCATGTTTCTTTCAGTATTACTATTCATATATATAGGTAACTATACATTTATTGTCTTTTTTTAGTCTCTCTCTCTCTTCTTCTCTCTCTCTCTCTCTCTCTCTTCTCTCCTCTCTCTCTCTCTCTCTCTCTCTCTCTCTCTCTCTCTCTCTCTCTCTCTCTCTCTCTCTCTCTCTCTCTCTCTCTCTCTCTCTATATATATATATATATATATATATATATATATATATATGTATATATATATATATATATATATATATATATATATATATATATATATATATATATATATATATATATATATGCACACACACACATACACACATACATATATATGCACACACACACCCATTCATACATACATACATCCTTCTTGAAAATCAAACGACAGATCGCGACCTCCTACATGCAATACATAAATATAAGAGTTAATACTCACAGTACAGAAGCTGGTGTGTCCATTAATCTGTCGAAATGAAAGAGAGCAATTAAAATCAGTGAGAGTGATACCGCTAACATCATTACTCAGCATAATCACCATCTGCATTCCACACAATAATCATCAGCATAATAGTTTTCGGTAAGTGGAGGCTATGTGTTTTTTTTATTTCTTGTTTTCTTCTTAAAAGTATCTGTCTATTCATTGATTTGTTTATCTATATGTCTGTCAGTCTATATGTCTATCTATGTATCTTTCTGGTAGTCTATATCTCTATTTATCTGTCTATTTACCTATCTGTCCTTGTCTATAACTTCTCCCCTTTCTATCTATATATCTAATGTATCTTTCTATCTACAAGTGTCTGTCTGTGTGTGTCTGTGCATGTAACATATCTAACAGGAATGCAGAATGAAATTTTGAATCAACACTAAATTTATTCCTGCCTTTTATCTTCCACAGTGAAATAAGAGAAAACACACAGTCACATAAATCTTATCTCCAGTTTCCTCTATGTCTCTCCTTCGCTTTTCAAGATTTCATTATCAACATAATGGAAACACGGGAAAGAAAATACAGTGCATATCAAATTACATAAATGCATTGCAGTGAATACGAAGTGCTAGCGTGTGAGCCGTTTTCTGTTGCTTTTTGTAGCCTTTCTCGGATTACTTATGGTTTGTCTTTGTGGAACTCGGGAGGAGAAACTATTATGAAATACGTAGGCAGTATTTGCATATATCTTGTCGTTTATTACTTGTGAAATAGGGAATGAAAATTAATGTGATAGTATTACGAAGATATTTATAATAGTTATGGTGTTGGTATTGATAACATGATATTGATAAGAATGACTGTAATGATGATGAGATTTGTATATTTGTAATGTTCCTACTACTATTACTACTACTACTACTGATAGTATTACTACTAATTACTTCTACTACTACTACTACTACTACTACACTACCATTACTACTACTACTATTACAACTACTGCTGCTGCTATTACTACTACTACCACTACTACTGTTGCCATTACTACTACTACTACTACTACTACTACTACTACTACTACTACTACTACCACTAATACTACTACCACAACAACACTTACATTAACATTAAAGACAGCAAAAACAATAACAATAAAAATAACATGCAAAATCAAAGGCCTACAAATATACCCAAGTGTACATTGTTTAATATGCAAATGAGGCGTAAAGAGCAAAAGCAACGTATGTAAGACTTTTCTTTTTTTTTTGCGAGTTAATTCAGAAATGCAAAGCAGGTCAGATAACTCCCAGGAATGTGTAATAGAAATCTCCAACAGGCTACTTTGTGTTGGAATGGGAAACAGGAGACAGTGCAAGGAAAAAAAGAAAGAAAAAAGAAAAAAAAAAGGACTATATATATATATATATATATATATATATATATATATATATATATATATATATATATATATATATATATATATATATATATATATATATATATATATATATATATATGTATATGTATATATAGATAGATAGATAGATAGATAGATAGATAGATAGATAGATAGATAGATAGATAGATAGAGAGATAGAGAGAGAGAGAGAGAGAGAGAGAGAGAGAGAGAGAGAGAGAGAGAGAGAGAGAGAGAGAGAGAGAGAGAGAGAGAGAGAGAAGAGAGAGAGAGAGAGAGAGAGAGAGAGGAGAGAGAGAGAGAGAGAGAGAGAGAGAGAGAGAATAAGAGAACCGAATTAGACGGAGATAGTACGAATGGCTAGGAAGGGTAGGGTAAAATGAAGGAGGGAGAAGGAATTAGATAAAGTATGATTGGTGAGGAAACAAAGAAAGGAGGAGGAAAAGCAGAGGAGAAGAGAATTACCGAGGATGAGTTAAGGTAAATAAGATTAAAAAGAAAATAGAACGAAAAACGATACGCAGAAAAGAGAGATAATTAAGAATGAGAAGGAAATATTGAGTAAAGACAAAAATGATAAAAGAGAATAAGATAGAAATAGGAAAAAGAGGAGGAAGAGGCATTGGGAAGAAAGAGAAAATAGGTGGAAGTGGAGGAGTAGGAGGGATAGGAAGAGGACAAGGTGACAGGGGACGAGGATAAAGGAGGAGAGAACGATAAAAAAAAAGCTAAATACAGAAAAAATGAGGACGAAGGACGAGAGAGAAAAAAAAAAACGAAGCAGAAAAATAGAAACGGAAGAAGAGACGAGGGAGACAAGAAAGAAAATGAGGAATATGAGCGAGAGGAGGAGGGGTGGAGGTGGAGGTGGGGGGGGGGGGAGGAGGCAAAGGGAAGAATGAGGTTCTCAACCTTTAATTTCCTGTGTCTGGGAAGACGAAGGAGATGCGCCTATGATTTATACTAACACTTGGGAACATCCGAGGCGCCTCCCCCCTCCCCCCCCATCCCTCCCCCCCACCCCCCCCCCCCCCACTCTTCCTCTTCCCCCTTCCCTCCTACCTATCATTCTAATCTTTTCCATCTCCCTCCCATCCCCTTTCCTTCCCCCCCTTCCCTCCTACCCATCATTCTAATCTTTTCCATCTCCCTCCCACCCCCCTTCCTCTTTCCCTCCTCCATCTCCCTCTCATCCCCCTTCCTCTTCCTCTTCCCCCTTCCCTCCTATCATTACTCTCCCCCCCTTCCTTCATTCCCCCCCCCCCTCCTACCCATCATTCTAATCTTCTCCATCTCTCTCCCATCCCCCTTCTCTCCCCCCCCCCTCCCTCCTACCCATCATTTAATTTCTCCATCTCCCTCCCATCCCCCTTCCTCTTCCCCCCCCCCTCCTCCTACCTATCATTCTAATCTCCTCCATCTCCCTCCCATCCCCCTTCCTCTCTTTCCCCCCCCTCCCTCCTACCCATCATTCTAATCTTCTCCATCTCCCTCCCCCCCCTTCCCCCCCCCCTCCCTCCTACCTATCATTCTAATCTCCTCCATCTCCCTCCCATCCCCCTTCCTCTTCCCCCCCTTCACTCCTACCCATCATTCTAATCTCCTCCATCTCCCTCCCATCCCCCTTCCTCTTCCCCCCCCCCTCCCTCCTACCCATCATTCTAATCTCCTCCATCTCCCTCCATCCCCCTTCCTCTTCCCCCCCCCCCTTCTCTCCTACCCATCATTCTAATCTCCTCCATCTCCCTCCCATCCCCCTTCCTCTCCCCCCCCCTTCCCTCCTACCTATCATTCTAATCTCCTCCATCTCCCTCCCATCCCCCTTCCTCTTCCCCCCCCCCTTCTCTCCTACCCATCATTCTAATCTCCTCCATCTCCCTCCCATCCCCTTCCTCTTTCCCTCCTCCCTTCTACCCATCATTCTAATCTCCTCCATCTCCCTCCCATCCCCCTTCCTCTTCCCCCCCTCCCTCCTACCTATAATTCTAATCTTTTCCATCTCCCTCCCATCCCCCTTCCTCTTCCCCCCCCCCCTACCCATCCTTCTAATCTTTTCCATCTCCCTCCTATGCCCCTTCCTCTTCCCCCCCCTTCCCTCCTACCCATCCTTCTAATCTTCTCCATCTCCCTCCATCCCCCTTCCTCTTCCCCTTCCCTCCTACCCATCATTCTAATCTTCTCCATCTCCCTTCCATCCCCCTTCCTCTTCCCCCTTCCCTCCTACCCATCATTCTAATCTTCTCCATCTCCCTCCCATCCCCCTTCCTCTTCCCCCCTCCCTCCTACCCATCATTCTAATCTTTCCATCTCCCTTCCATCCCCCTTCCTTCATTCCTTCAACCCCATTAACTTAAACTCCCCCATTGTTATTTGCTTCTCCTTCTCCCCATTAGATGTCCATTTCAAACCCTTTCCTATCACTTTGTTTTGGAGTTCTTTCCCTTTATTCTATTTTTATTATATCCTTTATTATTTATTTATTTATTTATTCCTTTCCCTTTATTTCCACTATTCTCCCATTTCTTCTGCCCCTTCACTTCTTTCCCTCTTCTTCCCCCATTATCCTATTATCCTATTACTCTCCTATCTTTTACTCTAGCGATATGACCTCATCTCTATCTCTCCAATTCCAACCCCCCCCCTTTATATCACCCCATTTCCCCTTATTCCTCCCTCCCTTAGCCTTTTCTATCACCCCATTTCACCCCCATTCATTCCTCCCCATCAACTCCTCTCAGTCACTCCCTCCCCCGTACTCCATCGTGCTCCTCGCCCCCCCCTTCTTCAGGCACCTATGATACGCCCCATTCCGTAGTTTTTATCAACCTTCCCCATCCCCCATCTTTAACAAGCATCCATTACACACCTCCAATTATCTTCTCCTCCCCGCCTCCAACCCCCATCTCTTCCCAATACTCCATTATTCATCTCCCTTGCCCCTTCATCATCCACCCTATCCCACCCCCCCACTTCACCAGCAATCCCCTTCCGCTGCCCTGTCACCTGATCTCCCCTCCCCCTCCTTTCTCTACTCACCTATCCGTTCTTCCTATTCCACCCACCCATACCTCTCCCCCTTCCATTCACCCACCCCTTTGTCTTAACCCCCCCATACCTCTCCCCCTTCTCCCTTGCTCTCCCCTCTCCCTCTTCCACTTACCCACCTCTTTCCCCTACCCCCAATACCTCTCCCCCTTCCCACTAACCCCCCTTCTCCCCTCTCCCCCCTTCTCCACACCCACGTATTTCCCCTAACCCCCCATGTCCCCCTTCCCCCCCATACCTCTCTCCTCCCCACTAACCCTCCCCTTCCCCCTTCCACCCAACCCCCTCTCCCCTTACTCCCCCCTAACCCTGCCTTCTCCCCTTCCCCCACCTCTTCCCCCCTAACCCTGCCTTCTCCCCTTCCCTCACCTCTTCCCCCTAACCCCTCCATGCCCCCCCCTTCCCCCTAACCCATCCCCCCCACCCCCTGATAGATCTCCACCCATGTACGGCGAAAGATGTTGTTTTGTACTACACGTAATGGGCTTCGTGAATCATTCCGTATAGGAAGATGGTGCGAGAATAGCTACGGTTCGGTTCGGGGAGAGTGATGAGATGGTGGGGGAGG